GTTAACATAAATTTAATTGAAAATTTCTTTGTATTTTTTATTAGACTACATAAATTAAAAATATCTCGAATTATCTAAAGTATATTTATATTTTTCTTATATAAGATGATTTCAAAATATTAAATATAAAACAAATGGTTGAGTATTTATTTTTAAAAAGTAAAAGTAAATTAATATTTTTTTTATATAAAATAATCTCAACAAAATTTTTGTTATTTACTTAAAATACTGAACAACATACTTTAAAAATAATCTTAAGCAAGATGACATTATTAGAAAATGTAACTATTTTATATAATTCTATCTTAATAAAATAATTACAGAAATATTTTAAATATTATACGAAAATATATTTTTAGCGGACTATAGATATTTACTTTACTTCTTTTTTCTTAATCTTTAGTTGATTTTAAATTTTAATTTATATTTTTAACAACCACTGTCTCCTTTATAATCTGAACTCCCAAACTAATCTGAATTCTTATGTTTAAANATATATAAGAATAATTATAGTAATATCAACAAAAAAATGCAATATAATATATCCAAATAATAATTAAATCGATTAGATACTATATATCTTAAATCACATGTCAGATTAAAACAACATGTAATTATATACACAAGATCTACATATAAATTATAAAACAAATTTGTAGCCAATTAGTATGATTTATTTATGTTGTTGATTTAATATTTGTGCATGAACACGGAAAAATCACATAATCCAACTTATATCTAAAATCATAGATTTAACTACAATAAGGATATATAGTTTTATAATAATAATAATTTATTTTATAAATATAAATTATAGGATGACTCAAACATATTAAAAATGAAAATAAAATATTAACGAACTGTTGCAATCAGTTATTTTTTTAAAATTTATATACATGCATGAGACTTCAGAATATTTTTGTTATATTAATTTATGTAATTTAGAACCAGACACTTTAGTTTATTTTTATTTCATTCTAAAAAAATATATACTAAGTTATACATAATCTTCCTAAAATATATTTACGTATCTAACACAAAAACTAACCTAAATACAAATAAGAAAATTAATCAAAATTTAATATATTTAGAATAAAAAACATTGTAGTTGAATTTAGAAAAATAGATACAGTCCAATAAATTCATATGATAACTAAATCGACTGTAAAAATAACAAACCAATTAGATATAACATATCTACATTCATCTGCTAAAGTACTATAGTATTATTAATATAAATTATGCATATAAATTATAAATTAAAGTAAATAGCAAGCAATTTTTATAGTATATTTGTTTTATAAATATTTATACCCGTGCATGAGCACGGGAAAATCACCTAGTAAAAACTAAATAAGAAAAAAGTAGAGGAGCAATATTAAGAGACATAGTGGCTTAACATTAAAACAAAATACACACCACCACCATTGTAAACTCAAATAGTTGCTGAGAAAAACAGAATTTAACAAATGTTGGACCCACCTGTTCGTCTTTGTGGGAACCGAAATTCACCTACTGTCAAAATCGTTAATAAGGAAACTTTGAGTAAACCCTAAATTTTCAGAGGACCCGGCTATCTGCAGAACCTCACAACGATAATTAAGAAAACAATGAACTCAAAATTAAAATAAGAAAAGAGCAAGATTGAGAGCAAGAAGGTTTTTATTCCGAATCTGCGCAAAAACGGTTACAACGAGAACGGCCTTAGCTGCGTGAGCCGTCGGCGAAATCCCTAACTCTAGAAGTCTAAGACCGAAAACCCTAGTTGAGACGCAACTCGCTAACTAAAAAACGGAAATATTCCTAAATGCTAAGTTTGGTGGTCCAAGCTCTGAAAATCGTGTCCCTGCTTCTGCCCTATGCATCTTGCTTATATACTCCTCTCCTTGGCGGTTTAGTCTTTCCATTTCGCTCAGATTCGAGTTTATCGGGAATCTTCCATTTATCTCGATCCTTCCTTTTTTCCCGCGAAAATCTTCTATTTGTCTTCAAACTTGCCATTTATCTTCAAACTTGACATTTATCTTCCTTCTGCGAGTAAACCGTCAAAACGTTATTGTATCTTCGGGTTAGATTTCGTTAAGAACGCGAGATGGGCTTTTATCGCGTTTTAGGACCTTCCGGGCCATTTTACGATAAATCCGTTTTGCGACTTTGTACGAGATCGTTTCCTGATCCGATGCCGATTTTAGTAAATTCCCCGAGTTAATCGTAAAGTTTAGCTACGTTCTTTTCTCGGTTAATCGTTCCTGTTTTTACGATTCACTCGACGTTTTTATTAAAAACGCGTTTTTTACGATTTTTACTAAAAATCTCGAATAAATCGTATAGTTTAGGCAATGTTTGGTGTTTCGTTTAACCGTTGCCGTTTTATACGATTTCCTCGAGTTCTTTTCGAGAAAACAAAGTTTTACGGTTTTTATCGTAAAACTCGAATGATAGGACGGATCGAGACGAAACGGTAGACATTTTGACCGTGGTTCGGAACACGACCGTGTCGAATGACGTAAGCCTTGAATCGAGGATACGGGAGATCGAGGCTCGGGATGGTCGGTTCGACGTACGGTGAGTCGAACCGGACCGGTCCAGCTCGCCGTTTAGCGAGCTGCCTGGGAAGCTTCTAGCTCGCCGTTGGGCGAGCTAGTTGGGACGAGACTAGCTCGCCATTGGGCGAGCTAGTCGTGACATGACTAGCTCGCGTCTTACGGCAGTTTTGGTTTTTCAGGGTTTTGTGCTTAACTCGGACGATCGTGTAATCGACGTTTGTTTCGTTTTTCCGAGATAACGATCTTCCGAGTTTTCCGCGGATTTCTTTTGTTCGGAAATCTCTTTTGGATTTATAAAACGATTTCTCGAGTTTTATAAAATGATTCTTCGAAATTTATAAAACGATTTCTCGAGTTTTATAAAACGATTCTTCGAGTTTTATAAAAAGATTTCTCGAGTTTTATAAAACGATTTCTCGAGTTTTATAAAACGATTTTTCGAGTTTTATAAAACGATTTCTCGAGTTTTATAAAACGATTCTTCGAGTTTTATAAAACGATTTCTCGAGTTGTATAAAACAATTTCTCGAGTTTTATAAAACGATTTCTCGAGTTTTATAGAACGATTCTTCGAGTTTTATAAAACGATTTCTCGAGTTTTATAAAACGATTTCTCGAGTTTTGTAAAACGATTCTTCGAGTTTTATAAAACGATTTCTCGAGTTTTATAAAACGATTTATTTTATCTTTTTGCGGGGAGTTTTGGCTGTTTATTCCGTTGTACCAATTTTGACCCCAACAGTCTTGCTTTTGTGATGGTTAAAAAGAAAGGAAAAGATGATGAGCCACACCCGACAGGCAGTTCGGAAAGGTCTTACAACGTCGGATAAAACATAAGACGCTGGTCTAAACGGGGCCTTTATGGTTTCACAAGAATGGAGGACGTCTTGGAATATATATTAGTTCAAAAACTACATAAACCGTTTGATTAGTATTCTTTGTCTTGACAATGTTATGATGTTTAAAAAAGGTTTGGAGCATAGCTGCATAGGCCATGCGAAATATAAAGGACACTATGTGCCAACATTACAAACATTTTGCGGAGCTGCAGGTTATAAAAATGTTTCAAATACTTCGTTTTGAACAAATTTGCTATCTAAAGTGAGCCTTATCTATTACTTACACATTACGTCTTAAAATACATCTAATATCGCCCAGGTTGCAAGACAAGCGAGGAAACGATCGATAAACGAACAAACTTTAACAGCTCCAGCTTTAGGCAAGTGGTCATGACCTTCTGCTACCAATTCGCTAGAACTCAGAATCAATCCTACTGTGTCTAACACTATACCTTCATTTTATGAATGGAGGCCTTCTCCTGCACCCAAAACATGCACAAGTTGTTGTACTACTAACTGAGCTAATTTTTATTCCCTTAACATGTGCTAACCAAACTTCTTACAATGTGCTTTAGGAAGTTTGTTAAGTGAAAAAAATAAATAAAGCAAATCCAGGTACAAGGACAAAAATAATTATAACCAATAACTGACATTTTACCACGCCAATCTGATAAAACAATACTATCTAATCTTTCATAGCAAAGACTAAGCAAAACACACTATCTCGCTAAAACAATACAAAGAGTGTCTAACACATACAACAAATCAAAGGTGCAACCCTGCGCGAAGCGCGGACACATTCCTAGTTTAAACAAATTAAAAGGAATAAATGCAGAGAGGGAATGAAACAAAATATTGCAATGAATGGTAAACAATAAAAGGAATGAGTATTATTAATTATAGTAATTTAGAAACTATTTAAAAAAAATTAAAAAATATGTATATATATATAGTTAAACTTTCTTCTCCATCGGCCGTGTTTGATAACTCGGCCGAGTTTACGCCCGGAAAAACGCTAGTCGAAGCCCAACCACTGCAATTTTTACTAATTGGCGTCATTAATCGCTAACGAGATAATCAGCCGTATAATATAAAAAATCGCTAATTAATCAGATTAGTTACCTATTAAATAATAAAATTTATATTGTTTTTAGTCAAATCTAAGATATGGGTCTTACCTTTGGAGAAACTATTCTTCTTCCAATGCATTAGCTTCATTAACTCATTTTCATTTAATTTTTTAATTCCATGGGAACATAATTCTAGGTTATAAAACTTCTGCAAACATTTACATAGATATAATTATCTTTATAAAAAGAAAACATGCAATAAAGCTTCATAACACTAATAAGAAAATCTGTAACACCAAACCAAATTCCTAAAGTCAAAACTTATATGATAAAATATTCTAGAATGCTTATACGACACCATCACGATTGCTTTCTTTAAGTAAATTGACACCTTGTTGGTTCTCTACGTGGCTCTTTTAATCCAGTGGGGTGCACACGAAGAAAACTCATGAAACCATTTCTTGAATTAGCACTTGTTGCAGTACTTTCATCCATTCAATATTATGAAAATTGTTTTGCCTTGTCGTCAACAAATCAACCTGATTTCATGAAAATCCATGTATGTCTGTGCCAAGTAAACTCTCTATATATTTGATCTTAATTTCTTCATTCTCCAATTTTACAAAGGGTTCACGTATATCTACATCATTCTTTAACCATTTATTTGCTCCACACCAAGATATACTGAGATGTTCAATTGGTAGCTGTTTTAGGAGTGATGTTGCATCACCATATGTTATCTTTTGAATTTTTCTTGAGCGTAGTTCTTCGAAAACTTCTTGTCGAGTATCTATGACATGCTGAAATCCCCTCTCAACCTGTGTTTCAAAACTAGTTTTTCTTCTTGGAAGATGACGTGACGACATGCTTCGGATTGATTGGCTGCATCCTTGATCACTAGTAAAATCTACTATTTGTTCAGCAGTTTGAGTTTCTTGCATCTGGTCCATTGTTATGCCATCAACATCTAAAGTAGGTTTAACTTGGTTGAGTTGTAGGCTAAACATATGTAGTGAATAACATTCATCTTTATCAACATCATATTCACCCAAAAATTGATCCAACAAATCTTTAAATGGCATATGCTTCTTTTGCAAAACATGAACCAGTCTTCCTTTAGTATTCTTGACGAACTCGACCTGGTTAACGAACGACGGGATCAGGCCCTCATCCGAATTCAAAACTATCAGCAAGTGGCCGCAAAGTACTATAACGCAAACGTATGAGGCCGCAGATTTCATGAAGGTGAACTAGTCTTACGAAAAGTCTTCCAAAACACCACATAACGAAACGCCGGGAAATTGAGAGCCAACCGGGAAGGATCATACAGGGTCATAAAGGTAGTTCAGCCGGGAGCGTATGAAATTACAAACATGCAGGACACCAAAATTCCCCAATTGTGGAACGCGATGCACCTCAAAAAATACTATCACTAGACAACACGTCCGCAAAATATTGAACTACGAGACGGATTGATTCCCCCTAAAGGGTACGTAGGCATCTTGTCGCAAGACGAGACCAACTGTCCCCCCTCACTAAAAAAGGGGGGAGTAGGTGAGTATACATATACTCGTATACTCCCGAAATTTCAAAACTCGAAATTTCCAAAACTTTTTTCAGTAACGTAGCGAAAGAAAAAAAGAAATTCTGAATATAGCGAGACGTTGCCAATATTCGGAAAACCGTTTCTCTCCAAAAACCAACAGCAAAAAACAGTCTGTCCGCGACTATAAAAACATACGCAGCTTCTTAAGATATAATTCCTTCGCGAAAGCCCAAACAACGTAAACATCTGTCACCTAGAAATAGTTTGTTGCTGATCACAACAAACTCGAAACAGTCCTAAACAAACTTAACTTATCTCACAGAGATAGCTCTCGAACACCCGACAAGGGTAATAGCACTATAAAAGAAATCCAAACTTTTGGTCAGCACTTCCGGGCAACTTAGAAATTGTTCCCGGTGAGATACTCGATTCCAACCAAACGAATCGTATAAGCTGAGAACCTATCGCGGATTCTAAATCGGTATGGAATCAGGTTAAAATTGAAAAAGGCAAAATGAAATCCGACTAGTCATCGCATAGCCTCAGTCCGAAAGTAAACCTAGGTCTTGCCCTAAACCCAGCACACTGGTCTCTAACGTCTCAAGGCATGAATCGAGATCCTAAAGGCATGTCTCTTCGTCTACATATGAACGCTCACCCGATTTACTAAACATTCTAAAATGAGCAAACGAATAAGGCGATCCACAAAGGAAAAGGAATGCGAGACGACAACTCACAGACCTCCCTCAATATCAACTCGAAACAAAAAGTTTAAACGAAAAAACTGATTGTTCATTATAAAAATTTGCCGAAGCAACACGGGATTCAAAGCCGTAAAAGGCCAGTCCCGAACAAGTACAAAAGCCATTCTCGGCCAAACTCATAAAAATCTAATTCTTAAGTCTCCTACGAGAAAACAAATTCAGATACCCTCCGCACACGAAGTCTCATCCTCATCCATCGTATCACCAATTCCCGCAAAAACACCTTCACCTTCGTCAGCAATCTCTGGATCGTTGCTCTCATCTGCATCACGCTGAGGAGCTCTTTCGGCAGCAAGAGTCGGGTCTGAGTCACTTCCCTTGACAGGAACATCCCCTTCGGTCGCACGGACCGCCGTTCCTTCAAAACTCTTCATCTTGCGCTGAAGTCTGCGCAGCTTCGAAGCCTTGGACTTCTTTGCATCCTTCGCCTTGAGCAGAGAAATCGCGGTCTTTCCGAGATCGCGCTCCAAGTCGCTGATCCTAGCCTTGAACCGAGACACTGCCGCGGAATGCACATCCTCTATCCCCTTCAATTTCCCCTCGAGCTGAGCGGACCTCTCCTGCGACTCGGCCAATTCCTTAGCTAAACGCTCAACTTCAGATCCGCACTCTTTGATCATCCCATCGATCAACGAAACAAACTGGAAAAGCCAAGATAGACGATCAGACGCCAATTAAAAATAATAGTCTTTTTAAACGTGTACTCGCGAACCTGTACCTTGGCACGGTGTTGCGACATTGAACCCAAGCTTGGCGCCTTGCTCGACGAAGCTCCAGTCTCCGGACCCTTTGCGCCTCTCTTTCTCTTGGGAGCATCGGGGTTTGTGCAGGGTCTCTTACAACCTTTGGCTGGAGCAGCCAGCGTTACACTAAGCGCCGGAAGTCCCAGAACAATCACCCTCATGGACGGAGGAGGAGGCTTCAAAATCGTGACCGGCTCGACCTCGGTAGGAGCCGCAACCGTTCCGACCTCAGCAGGAACTGCTACAGTTTTGACTTCAGAAAGGGGCCAAACAGCGGATGAACCCGACGGTTCGATAACGGCGCCCGTCGAAGGTTTCACTACGGCACCCGCCGTTCCGTCCAAAATAGCCTTGACCTCTTCCGAAAGAACGGACGGGTTCACCGGGGCTGTGCAAGTCGGCACCGCAGTTTCCTCAGCATCGCTGCGATCCATCTCCACCTGAAACAAGAGGAACTCAGAAATGCGAGCATCCTGAGAATGCGGCATAGGGTTGTCACTAGCTGAGACCTCATGGTCTTGTTGATCACCTTGGGAAGAAGACATCTTGACAATTTTTCTAGAGAGAAGTTGGAGAGATGGAATATATGTGAAGTAATGATCCAATACTTATAGAAAAGGAGAGCTCCTCCATATTCCTGTGAATAATAAAAAATAGTATATAAGAAATATATCTAAAATAAAGTAATAACATATGCATGATATACAGTATAGAATTGCCGCAATCCGATCACTCCACCAAGTTTGCATCCTATCTATTTGTACAAAAGATGGACGAACATCAACACCAGGCATTTTACGAATTGACCGTGAATATTCCAAAACTTACGCAAGTAACCAATTTTGCTAGTTATCTCTGTATCCCAAAAGATATTTTCACCTATCAGCTTGAAGTTTTTTTTCAATTCTTTTTTTAGCTGCCACATCTGGCCTTCTACTATGGTAGTCATCTTCTTTTAGCTCCGCAATGATGAATTCAAGAGTAACTTCACAATTCTTATAGTTTCACAGATATTAGGAAAAATATTGAAAAAAACACTTCGAGCTGATAGGTGAAAAGATCTCTTCGGATCCAAAGATAACTAGAAAAATTAGTTACTTGCGTAAACTTTGGAATATTCACGGTCAATTGGTAAAACGCACCGGTGTTGTTGTTGATCCATCTTCTGGACAAACAGATATGATGCAAACTTGGTGGAGTGATCGGATTGTGGTAATTCTCTACTGTATATCATATATTATTACCTTATTTTAGATATATTTCTTATATACTACTTTTTATTATTCACATGAATATGTTTGCAAAAGAAGCCTCTGCCATTTAAAGATTTGTTGGATCAAGTTTTTAGTGAACATGATGTTGATCAAGATGAACTTTATTTACCACATATGCATGGCGTACAACTCCAGCAAGTTCAACCTGTTTCAGATGTTGATGGCATAACAATGTCCCAGATGCAAGAAACTCAAACTGGTGAGACAATAGTGGATCTTACTAATGATCAAGGATGCAACCGATCAATCCGGAGCATGTCGTCACATTGTCTTCCAAGAAGAAAAACTAGCTTTGAAACACATGTTGAGAGTAGATTTCAGAGTGTAATAGATACTCGGCAAGAAGTTTTGGAAGAACTAGGCTCAAGAAAAATTCAGAAGATAACTTATGGTGATGCAACATCACTTCTAAAAGGCTACCAATTGAACAGCTCAGTTTATTTTGGTGTGGAGCAAATAAATTGTTAAAGAATGATGATGGTATACATGAAGCCTTTGTAAAATTGGAGAATGAAGAAATTAAGATCAAATATACAGAGAGTTTACTTGGCACATACATACATGGATTTTCATGAAATCATGTTGATTTGTTGACTATAAATCAAAACAATTTTCAGAATGTTGGAATGGATGGAATTACTTGCAACATGAGCTAATACATGAAATGATTTCATGAGTTTTCTTGGTATGTACTCCACTCGATTAGAAGAGCAATGTAGAGAACCAACATGGTTGGTCAATTTACTTAATGGAAGCAATGATGATGGCCTCGTATAAGCATTCTAGAAATATTTTATTATATAAGTTTTGACTTTAAGATTTTGGTTTTGGTGTTTACAAATATTCTTATTAGTTTTTTGAAGTTTTATTGCATGTTTTCTTTTTATAAAGATAATTATTTATTTATAAGCACTTGAATTTATTTTCTTTCTCTTAGTAGTAATATCTATGTAAATGTTTACAGGAACTTCATATCCTAGAATTACGTTCCCGTGGAATTCAAACTTAAATGAAGATGAGTTAATGGAGCTAATGTTATTGGAAGAAGAAGAGTTTCTCCAAAGGTATATGCATCCTATATTAGAGTAGAACAAGACAAACTTTTTTAAAGAACCAATGAACAAAGACTGGAGAAATGGTTGGAAGATGATACGTGACCTACCATAACAAAGTTTCAAGTCGTACTCTTATCCGCATGACTTCAGAAGCCTTTATTCGTTTATGCAAAGTTCTTCAAACGAAGTGTGGATTATAAGAGTCAAATAATATAAAACTGGATGAGACCATCGCAATTTTCTTGATTTTGTGTGGCTAAAACAACACTCAACGGTACATTAGTTTAAAATTTGGCCATCCCCAAGAGACTATATGTAGAAAACTTCATTATTTTCTTTGAGCAGTAGGACAATTGACAGTTGACTATCTACGACCAAGAATAACTCGTGAGTTTGAAGCAATATCTAATAGCTTACATGAAGACAAGCAGTATTCACCTTAATTTAATGGTGTTTTGGGGGACCCTTGACGGAAGAAATGTATGAGTAACGATGACTCCAGGTTCAGATGCAATACGTTTTGTGAACCGAAAGGGAACATCAAGACTTAATGCTTTGGGAATTTGTGATCATGATATGATGTTTACATATTGCTTTGCTGGAATGGCGGGATTAACACATGACTCTAAAGTGCTGGACACTGCTATGCGAGATGATCCAATATTCCAATGATTCCTCATCCTCGAGAAGGAAAATATTATCTTGTAGATTCTGGTTATGCAAATAGGCGTGGTTATGTAGCTTCATATCGAAAATAAAGAACAGAAAGTATGCGAGATCATCTCAAGAACTTTTTAATAATGAACCTCCAACAAATATTAAGGGAATGTTTAACAAATGGCATGCGTCACTACGTTAAGTTACTGAACGTACATTCGGTGTTTGTGAAAAAAATGGATGGTTTTAAATGAATTTCCAACGTATGATATCTCAACGTAAAGAAATATTATATTTGCAACAATGGGACTTCACAAGTTTATTCGTTGGAACAAAATTAAAGATATTGACTTCAAAGAATTTGATGTGGGGAGGAACACTACACATTTTCATTCGAATGTGAACAATCATTCAGATGATGAGAGTGAAGAACAAGTGAACCAAAACACATTGACAGGAGTTTATATGAAAATTTTGCGAGATCATATCGCTGAACAAATCTGGACTGATAAAAGACATGCTCCTCGCCGACTATAGGTTCATATATATTTTAAGTACAAGTTTGAAAATAATTACAGATACATGAAATGTAATAGGTATTAGAGCCTTTTTGTCGCAAAATAAAAAAAAAATTGTTGTGCTGGTGAAAGATAGATATGTGTGAAGAAAGAGACACCAAGACATATGGTTAAGAAAGTTTAACTATATTTAAAATTTTTTAAACAATAGTATCTAAATTACTTTAACTAAAAAATACTTATTCCTCTTATTGATTACCATCCATAGCAATATTTTGTTCAATTCCCTCTCTGCATTTATTCCTTTTAATTAGTTTCTATTCATTCCTTTTCATTCATTTCCCCTATTGTTCCACTTGTTCCTAAAAAGGTCACCATTCGGACACTTAATTTGTTTCTATTCATTATCTTTCATTCATCTTTCCTATTGTTCCAGTTGTTCCCAAAAAGATCAGCTGTCGGACCCATAGATCTTTTGGTAGAAGTAACCATCGGGAATGAACTTATATCCTTCTTAGACGTATTTTACATTACAATCATCCAAACGACCGAGAGAAAATAACCTTCATCACAGATAGAGGTATGTACTGTTACAAACTAATGCCATTTGGACTAATGCATGAGCGACCTACCAGCATCTCTTCAACAAAATGTTCACAGAGCAGCATGGAAAATAATGGAAGTCTTCACAGAAAACATGCTAGTAAAATATTTTAAAGAAGACAAACACATCGCTCACCTCAAAAAATTCTTTGGCGTGCTGAAAAAGTACAAGATGAAACTAAATCTGATAAAATGTACATTTGGTGTCATCTCAGGAAATTTCCTTGGCTACTTGGTAACACAACAAGGAGTAGAAGAAAACTACAAGCAAATATTAGCATACTCAACATGGATCCCTCTCGAACGAAGAAAGAGGTTCAATGATTAACAAGGCGACTGGCCGCACTCAATAGATTTATTTCCCGATCAGCAGACAAATATTTACCATTTTACCAGTTAATCCAAAAAGAAGGATTTCAAATGGGACAAAAAATGTAATCAAGCTTTTATTAAATAAAAAGAATATCTCACAACTCGGCCAATAATTGCAATGCCAGAGGACTGCGAAATGCTTATCCTATATATCGCAATCTCAAATGCCGTAGTTAGTGGCTTCCTGGTGCCAGAAGGCATGGGAGATCAAAAACCAATCGTATGTTAGCAAGTCGGTCGAAGAAGCTGAAGTACGGGCCTTAGCTGTTGTACGAACAGCCAGAAAGCTGAGTTTATATTTCCAATCTAAGACCATAGCTGTGATGTCTAGCCATCCACTGCGATCAATCCCACATAGTCCCCCCCCCCCAATCAAGAAGGGTAGCAAGATGTGAAATGGAGCTAAGTGGGTACGACATCAAATACCGAGCTAAACCAAGCATGAAGTCACACAGATCCTTGCAGGCTTCCTTGTCGAGTTCCCACATATTCTGAGGTCCATAGCAAAAGAAGGGAGTAGCAATCCCGATACAGAAACATCAGTTTTACCATGGAGAAAGATCATCCTCTCAAAAAGGATTAGGAATTGGGATACAATAAATATCACCGTCAGAAGAAATCTTGGAACACCGGGTCAACAAATCTACATGTTTCTTGTTCGTTCAGTGATGTTCATGGGAAGATAGGATCAAGGTTTAACCAGTTCTAATTCTCACAAAAAATTACTTCTCTAGCTTGTGTTGAATCCATTACCCTTGGAATAAAGTTCGATTGACTGAAAATTCATAATACATATCTATTAAACATATAGGCAGCAATGGTAACTCCTGTTAAAAGTCCTGATGGTCCTTGCGTAGATTTAGCCGATCTTTTGGTACTACTCAAACCAGTGTGGGTTTGAGTCACCCCTACGTGGGTTTTAGCTGCCGCTTATTATGGGCTCTTGTTTCTGGGGCTGTTTCATTTTGCCGCCAGCTTTGTATGAATATTGGTAAGCTACTGATTAATGAAATTCAATTTGGGAAAAAAAAAAACTGAAAATGCAGAGTATAGGCGGTAACAAGAAAAATGATCAATTCACGAGAAAGTTGATAATTTAGAATTAAAATCCAATTTCTTATTTGGAATGCCGAACATATTTAATAAAAAAAAATTACTCATCGGTTTAGCCAAGTGTTCAACCAGTAGTCAGGTTACGGTGTTAAGAATTTTTAGTGGGTTTAATTAGCTGATATTTATTAAAATTTAAACTAAATTATTTAGCGGGTCACCGGGTTTGTCGGTCTAACCACGAACTGGATCGAGTATAAAAACAGTGGTTGTATGAGTAATTTATCTAACTAGGTTTGATTCCCCCTCCACCACAAACTATTAAAAATTAAGCATTTTATTATCTATTTATTATTTTAATGTAAAAGCCACGTATTACTACTCTCTAAAAGACATCTCAAATTATGTTACTTGTGACTAAAAGACAGTTGATCAATGTTTGTAAAAACTATATTTATTAGTCTTTATATCCCCTATATATTAATTGAGAAACATTTGAAAAAATGTAACCTTAAGTTTGTATTAATTAAAAAATAACAATATCCTACGTGGCAGCTTTCTATGCATTATAATTCAGTTTAAAAGGATTTTAAAGCACCTTATATAAACTATCGTCTAAAATTTATACTTTCTAGCAATATAATATTTCGTAGACTAAAGTTGGTCGTATATATCAAATCCTCTATATATTATTTGGGGATATTTTGAAAAATTGTAACATTAAGTTTGTATTAATTAAAAATAACTTCAATCCTATGTGGCATATCTCTTTGCCTTCTAAATTCTATTTAACACAATTCTAGAACACTTTACATATACCATAGTTTAAACATATATTTACTAGAAAGATGTTGCTCACATATCTTATTAATATTAAAAATTTATTATTCATTTTTTCCTTAAATAAAAGCTACAGAATTATCTAATGTGATTAAAAGATATATGACAATTAATCATTTCAGTAATAAAAATTTGCTAACAATTTGTATACCCTCTACCATATTTGTTATTAAAATAATTTACGCAATTACATTATTCATATAATAAAAATTTATATTTTTGTGTATATTGTATTTTGAATTTTTTAAAACGGGTATAAATTACTAAATTGTTAAATATCTAAAATAAACTTTTTGTTATCAATGGTTTAAATTTTTATTATAATAAGATACAAATAATTATAAAATACATGAGTAAGACGTTTTATTAATATGTTTATATTAATACATATATATATAATTTAAATTAAATTAGATTACATACCATATAAAATACATACTTCTATTTTGAATTTTAATTGAAAATATTTAGAATTTAATATTTTAATTTTAGAATTTGCATTCAGTTTTAATAGTTAAAAACTTTGTTATAAAAATATATTGATAATCAAAAAACCTTATAATGAGAAAATTCATTTACTAAACATCCATATTTAAAGTATATTATAGATATTGTTAATGTCAATTAAATTTAATTGTATCTAATATATGATGGATAAAATTGATTGTGTTGATTTGTTTACCATAAATGATTGTTAATAAATAAGAATAATCGTTTGATTTAAATGCACACACCAAATCCCCTATATATTAATTGAGGATCATTTAAAAAGTTATAACCTTAATTTTGTACTAATTAAAAAATCATATCTTATGTGGCAGTTCTCTATGAAATTCTACTTGGAAAAATTGGTCTCATATAAGACATATCAACTAAATAACATATCAAACTAAATATTCTCTATATTTTTCCTTAAATAAAACCTACGGAATTACCTAATGTGATTAAGATATATATGACTATTAATGATTTTAAATAATAAAGATTTGTTAAC